TTGATTACATATTCTGCAGAAACTATAGTTGCTTTGTGCATATTTTCCTGCATTCCACTTCTACAGATACTTTATCTGCCTGTTTTGCAGTTGCTCCATGTGTATCTGCATCTATATTCAAAAGATACTTTATCTCTTGTTGTTGCTATAGCTGCTTCAATATTTCAAATTGTGTTCTTATTCTGCAGATACTTTGTGTGTTGCTCGAAACCTATCTATATCTATATTCTAAAGTATCTTTACCTATAAGTCTATATAATGCCGAGAGCTTAGCTGATTTGGCAATGGCTTCAAATGTATCTGTTGCTCTGTTCAATAGATATTTTATCTATAGCAATAGCAAACTTCACAGTATTTCACAGATACCTTGTCATACTTTTCAATATTTATATCTTTTTATCTAATTATGTATCTGTATTTGTATCTATTCAGAAAAGATACCTCAACTGCAACTGTAACAGTTGCTTAACAATAAATATGTATCTTAGCTTCAACAGATACACCATCTATACCTTAACCGAAATACATATCTATGTATATCTCACATAAATTATCTTTAATTCTTTCTTCATCGCCATTTCTGCCCCTTCATCCACAAATAACTATTTGCAATTATAACTATTGATCTCGATGCATATGTATCTGAAATAGTTCAGATACTTTAGCTGTATAGGCAGCTCTCGCTCGATTTGTATCTGTATCTATGTGATATTCTAGTTGCGCTTGCGTGGCCCGCATCGAGCCATTGCCAAAAGCATTTGTGGAATGCCACCAAATGGAGAAATTTTTTTAACGCTGCATTGCGTGTTGCAAGTGCGTTTTCGCCTTGTTGCAGCTGCAGTTTGTCATGTGGCACAAGACACATACACGCACACACACAGGCGGCACGCTTGACTTGCGCCTATATTGAAATATGCGCATAATTGCCGTGCGTAGCAAATGCGAATGAAATATCACTTGAATACCAAAGTGAAAAAGCTCAAGAAATTACATTTATCTGCAGATTAAATCTGTTTCGACAACAAGTAGAGAATAGTTCACAATTGTTGAAGTTTAAAGATAGAAATTTAAAATGATCTTAATGTTCGCCTATAAGAGAAAACCTTTTCATCAAATTAAAAGTGATTTTTTGAAATACTTTCTTATCTAGTGGAGTTTCCCGTCTCTTGAGTCGTTAAGTGCCGAAGTCATTAGGTAAATTTTCAACCGCCTGCAATAAAGCCGAAATCTAAATATTGATAAGAGAATTATCGTTGACTAATTAGTGAAATTTCTTCATTTCCGTTTTACGTATTCAACTTTAACTTCAACTTTAACTGCAATTGAGAATAATTTGCCATTGCACAAGTTGGCAAATTAATTTCTTAGCCATAATAACAAACAATTGCAAGCTATTCTATTCTCGTCTCTGCCATTCACATCTATTCTATTGACTGAACTATTGTCATTGTTTGAGAATTATGCTAAATTCTATGCTCGAACCACAAGTATTGTCCAAAAGAGTCTTAGAATGGCACAGACAATGCTGTGAACTGTCGCCCCCCAGAACAGGCATGCTTAACATACATCATTTTCTGAACGGGTCTCGGGTAGCAGTCAAAGACATTGCCACATGATTGTGCAATGCCATTCAACAAGTGCTGCGACTCTGACTGCCGACTTGCAATGAGAACCAAAGACTTTGGGGCATTTAATTGAAGAAATCACGCACTTAGAATCCCAAATGCAGAACGCTTATAAATTCCAAAGAGCCAAAGAGACAGCGAAAGAGAGAGAGAGAGAGAGAGAGAGGGAGCTAAGCAGAGGATGGGGCAAGTACAAAGCCAGGCGCACTTTGGGGAGACACCATAACGATGACTTCTATGGCCTGGACACAAGACACAAATACGGCTAACGGGCTTTGCCTCTATGAAAGACAAAGAACATAAAAAGAATTGGAAAAAAGCGAAGAAAAAACTGACGAAGCAGAAGAAGAAGCAGCAACAGCCACAGCAACACAATTCTACAGCCAGGCGACAAGTTTTGCATATTAAAATGAAAAACAAAACAACAATTGAGAACTTGAGACGAGCTTGCTCGAAGAGCAGTTACCCTGTAAGCAGCTTAGCTTCTAGTTGACAAAATTTAGAATTTTCTGCTTGATTTATGTCAAATTTGAGATCTGACAAGAATTTTGGCTGCGATGCCAGAAATTATGTAAAGTGTAAAATATATTTGAGACTTTAGTCATATGAGAGATACACTAGAGGCATGAAAGATATGCCAGATATAGAAGCAATATACTAGGAAAAATTACTAGAAAAAAAAATGTCTCCAATGTTAGATAGGTTTAAAATCTATTATTTTGATTATATATCATTTATTGATATCATTTTACAAAAGCTATTATATACTAAACAAGAGCATTTAAACTCTATATGATCAATGTTTGCAATCTATATTTATCAATATCGAATTGTTTCATCGAATCGCTTGAATTAGATATGCCTAGGCAGCTGTGTAAGCCATTTAACCTGAGCTCTAAATAAACTCGAGCTAAGATTGTCTCTGCCTATACGCCATTTCCTGTTTACAGGGTATCGTAGACCCATCATTGAATTACAAATTGTATGGCAAATTGTTGTGTATGCTAGCTGCAAGTCGATTGCTGTTGTCGTTGTTGTTGCTGCTACTTTTTATAGCTTCTTTCACTCCAATTGTGGACGTCAGTTGTTGTGGCTCGCAACAAAAAGCGAATGCGCCTCAATCAGAGAATTTTAATTATTATTTTCAATTATCGAAAATGGTTTTGCGTCTGTTTCAGTATGCCGCATATTATATTTTTTTGTTTTCTACAGCCGCCCCTCCTCCTCCCCGGCACGCCCCCTAGTCTCCTTCTCAAGTGCTTTGTTGCGGGCGTCTGTTTGCATTTGCACCCCCAATAGCGCACAGTCGATGTGTAGCTGTATCTGTATCTATATCTGCGGCTATTGTTAGGGCGTCCCTGGTAATTAGGGGGCGTTTCAATTGCGGCATATGGTTTTATTTTAATTAAATTTCTTGTCGAGATAAGCGCTGCGAACACAGCCAAAAACTCAGCCACAACCACAGCCGGTCTCTCACTAGGCTTTTAGAGACATCTAGTATTTCGACTTTTTCGATTTTTTTTTCGCTTTTTTCATTTCTAATGCCAGTGACAAGGGCAATGAGTACCTTTTATGTACTCACATTTTGTGTGTAAGCACACACTCAGAAAACTGTGAACAAAATAAATCCGCTGAAATACGATCGAGAGTGGAAACAACTGAAGCTTTTAGCGTATTGCTGCAAAGCCACAAAGCTGTTAACTGATAAATTAAACAACTGTCGCCGGCTCTGAAACGCGAAACAATAATAAATAAACAAACATAATGTGCGACGCAGAGACCGGCGTTGGCAATGCCAACATCCAAAGTCAGGTAGTCCCGGCACAAGTATATAAGCCAACTCTCATATTTATATATATATATAATGTATACACTATAATATATAGTATATATAACTGATTTTTGTCAGTTTAGCCAAGTGGCAAACAGACATCAATGGAAATGCATTGCCAAACGCGCAAGCACAGTGCAAAACTCCGAAAACAGCACGATAATGTGCTGTAGACGGCTGTGATAGAGCAGAGGATACCCTGTAACTGATAGCGAACTGAATTTTTAAGCATTTTAAATGCTTAAACTCAGCTTGCAGACAACTAACACAGCTGACTGTAATTCTTACTATGGGTGGAAGTAACTAAACATTAAGATATTATGTAAACATGTATGCTAAAAGTAAGCCTACAAACACAACAATTTGGTCTTATCTCTTCAGAACAAAGTATACTGAATCGATTCTTATCGATTTCTTAGTTATCAATGAAAATTAATATGTTTTATTTAATAATATAGTAGAAGAAACTATAATACAAGTTTCAGTGTCTTAAAGGCTACTGATGCTATCTATATATATATATATCGATAACTATATCTATATATATATATAAATATTATAAATTCAGTCAAACTTCAATTTTCATAAAATCAAAATACCCTCGCTCTTCGCAATTTTCACTTAAATTATAGTATACAAAAATTACTCGAAATGACGCTCTGTATCTGTGTCTATGTGTGTATGTTTGTCGGTGTATTTGTGTGTATCTATGCGATACTCGTGATCAGGTGGCGGCTGTGATCAGCGCTGCTTAGCACGCGTCACTTGATGAGTTCCCCAATTTATGGCTTAGATACACTTGACTACAAAACGAGCATTTAACTGAAGTCGAATGCTATGTCACGTTGCTTAAAGTAAATGAATATATATATACTATATATATATATATATTTATAAGAAAAATATTTACTTATATATAGTTACATATGGGATAAGCAAACAACTTTAAAGCCGTTTTTATAAAAACGTTCAAGAAAGTTATATGTGTACGTCTAATAGAGTTAGGTATATGGATAAAGAAAAAGCTTTAATTTGAATGAAAACCATATTAATTTTAGCTATATCCATTTTAATATGCAATCAATAATTTTTAATTGAAATCTAAATTTAGATAAATTTCATTTAGTTTATGTTAGCATTTTTAGTCTTTTATCTCTAGAGTATAATAAATTTAGAATTGGTATTTAGTGTGTTTGCGAGTGTGTGTGTGGTTTTTGTGTTGTGTGTTGAGGTTTTTCATTTTGTCGCAAATGCCATTTAACCGAATCGAAAAATGCCAAAAACTAAAAGGCAACGATAATAATGATAATTTTGTATTCGTATTCGTATTCGACTGTCTCGCCACGCGGTTGGGCACATCGTGAACTGAGTACACAATGGCTAAAGTACACACACACACACGCACACTCACTCACTACTACTGAGACAAAACAAAAAGCTAAAGAAACAAAAACAAAAAATAAATGTGGAAAAAAATCAAGTAAAGTTAAGTAAAACCGCACGACAGCGCAAAACAGCAGCGACAAAATAAGCGACGCAAGCAGTTTGTCACTCAATCGCCCAGCAATCAGTCGCGTTTTTCTTCGTTTTTCGTTTTTCGTTTTCGTTATTTCGTCTTCGGTCTGTGGCATAGAATGCTGCAGCGCATCTGTATCTTATAGATACATTTGCAGATAGCTCAAGCTGTGCGACGTGTGCGCGTCGCTGCAGTTCGCCTCAAGTTGCGCACGCGCGTCTTCCTCAGCTAAAAGTGTCAAAATGTATCTATCGTTTCAAGCGTATCTGTAAGATACAATATATGCATTTGTTAACCAAATTGCATTGCAATATCAGCTATGCAACAGTCGCAATTGTTGTTGTCGTAAAAAACGTGAAGAGCTGTGATTCTAGAGTACAGTGAAGCTTGCATTTAGAGTTAGTTGTTTAGGTATCTATTAGATACACATAACTTTGTTCTCATAGAGTTATTACTGTACTTGTATATGAACTTATGCTACAGTGAAGCTCATTAAAAAGTACTTAGATCAAGCTGTTGAACTTTAGTGAGCTCAATGAGCTTTGAAAACAGTGAAGTTTAGCTAAAAAGGGCTGAGCGAAAATGTCTAGTTTAGCTTAGGCATTTGTTACTGTAAAGTGTTTAACTAAAAATGATTTACCTTGAGTTTCATTTGCATTGTAATCACTGTACTATGCCCGCCCTTATAATAAATCATTCGTTCGTTGGATTTTGAGCTTCACTAAAATTCCCTTTGCCTACAATTTATTTAAGCAGTTAACACTGTAACTGTCAATTACTTATGGAAAATTACACCTTTAATTCCATTTAGGCAGTTAACACTGTTGAACTCGTCGCACTTTTGCTGAATTCAAGTACATAGCATAGCGGCACATAGGCAGCTCTTACTGTAGTCGCTGATAAACCCTATTTACTTGAACTGAATGTGCATTAAGAAACGTGTCGAATGTATTTACATAAATTTGCCATACAGGCACAGCAACAGCTGATTCGTTACAGGGAACAATAGCCAGCCAACTAAACAAACACAAGTTCTCGCTGCCTCTATGCATATATAGTTGTGTATATATATGCGACATATTTGTATAAAAGCTAAACCGACTTCCGATACAGTTGGCGTAACGCTTGAATGCTTCAGTTTGTTCGAGGTGTGCCCCAAACACTCACACACACACACACACACAGCTCTCATCATAAATGGCTTTAGATGTGCTGGCATCTTCACGATCTGACAGTTCGATCTGGTACCTGAACGTACGTGCGTAAAGTCTAGCTCAAGGTCGGCTGCGCCCTATATAGATACATAAATATGTATATATATAAGCTATGTGCTTGAAAACAATAGGAGAAAATTTGTTGACTCTGCCCCGAATGCCACATTTGTGCAAATATTCAAAGATGCCGCAGGCAAACAACTAGCACAAGTGTCATTAAATTGAAAATATCTAGATAAAAACCATGCAGTAGCTCTCTGTCTTATACACATATATAAATGTTTTCTTAAGCATATATAATTTTTAAGCAGAGAGAGAGAACGACATAGAGCGAGAAAGAGAGAGAGAGAGGAGAAAAATAAATACATCACGTAATGGATTTCTTGGCGTTGAAAATGAATCATTTGGCCGTAAGCAAAGTAAATTCCAATTGAAAATAATCAGTTGGGTTAGCTGACGTCGAGGTGCGGGAGGGGCACAAATGCGTATTGCCCGGCAACAAACGGAAATTGTCAGTTGTCAATTCTGAGCAACAACAACGTCGACTACAACAAAGGTGTGCGGCATATTAAATACAAAATGTCAACAGCTCGTCAACCCAAAAAAAAATACTTATATGCACACTATACATATATATATATACATAGCTCCAAGTTCTAAGTATTTCTATGTAAATCTCAACATAGATGGGCAGCTATGACAGTGCACTTTAAGCAAAATTAAGGGCATCAAATATTTGGTGAACGATGCAACTATGCGACTAAGCAAGAAAGGTTTTTAAATATCAATTAAATATTGGTATTAAAAAAATAGTTTAATATAGAAATATTTTATATATTAATATTAAAAGAAGAATTGGAAAAAATATAGGTATAGCAGGCATAGAACTTAACTTCAAGTTAGAAAAGATCAAGTTATCTTCCAGATATGTACATATTTTTTGATATATTTTATATATATTCAAAAGTTTCCAATCAATATATTATATATATAACATAAAATAATATTAGATTGGGAATATGAACATATAAAAAGTAAAATAATATATCTATAAATATATATATATATATATATATATATATATATATTTATAGTCTCCATATCTCTCTCTCTCTCTCTCTCTGTCTATGCGAAAACTCTCTATAGCCATAAAATTGCTAGCGTAATCTATTTCTTCTCTTTTTTTATTATTATTATTTTTAACATGCTTCAGATACGTCAGTTCATAATGTTCATAATGAAAATGCGTTGCTTTACGCTCTAAAAATTTCCAGATACCCGCACATTAACCAAAGGTTCAGAGTGTAAATGTGAAGTTTATGAAGTTTATGCGATAATTGTTGTGCTTATTCAAATGAGCCGAGTAGAGGAGAAATAGCTAGCTAAGCAGATAGCAAAGTCAACATAAAGTACAAAGTGCGCTGAGCTGAGGTCGCATATGCACATCTGATATCCAGCTGGAGTCAGTTAAGGTCAAAGTTCTTAACTAATTGGGCTAATCAGTTCTAACTGCAGTCAAGCGATCGCCAGCAACAACTAAAAGGAATTAGAGCCGCATGTGTTGACCGAGTTGACAAATTGGTTAGTTGGCAGCGAAGCGTAACAAATAATGGAAACAAAAATAGAAATAAAATGATTACAAGCCAGTCAATTGGCAGCAGTGTTGCAATATGCCACATATTGTATGCTATTATAAACGTGCATGATTGCAGCAGTAGCAGTAGCAGCAGCAGCAACGTTGTGTTGCAATGCACTTCACGTGTAACAAGGTTCGAGCCACAAAACTTGTCAAATATTTCCATAAATATTTGTACTTTCCTCAGAGTGCTATATAGTACCTGTACCTGAGCCCAAATATATGTACACACATATATATGTGTCAGCATATAAGTTTCGTATATTTACGCATATTTCTGTCTACATGTTGACCAAGTACAAACAACATAGTCCATCAGCAATAGCAACAGCAACAGCCACAACTCAGACCCAGCAGGCAGTCTGTCAATAGACAGACAAACGTCAATTTAGCTGGGCCTCTAGAAATTGAAAATAGCCCAGCTCGACAAGCTGTGGAAAGTCTAGAGAAGAAGAGAAAAAATCAATAGAAAATAGTTGACATGAAAATATACTTCGTTTCATTTTCCCTAACCAAATCGAAATGAACGCATCAAGCTATTTTTAAGACAAACAATAACAATCGATTGTCATCAAATAAACAATCGATATGTTGAGTTTTAAGACATATGCTCAAAGTCTTTTAGGTTGATTAACCTTATGTGAGCTGACTTGAGACTTGTACTTGACATACTGGCAAAAGGCTAAGGGAAAAGTTGAAGTTTCGATAGGTTTAAGACAGCAAAACTATTGATCAGAGATATGATATGAGAGTTGAGTAGCTAACAATGGATATAGATCTTACTTAAAGAAATATTTTTGAATTATATTTTTCAATTAAACAAGATGTGATATTTCTATATTTTTTTTTTATAAGTTTTCTTTGAATTAATGAAGATTTTCATTATACTTGACACTCAGCGGAGATCTCTTTAGATCATTTCTAGTACAAAGAGTTTCTAATAGCATTGCAAACGCATCTCTAATGAATACTACATGTTTGAGTATTCATTAGAGATGCGTTTGCAATGCTATTTGAAACTCTTTGTACTAGAACTGTTTTCTAAATATTCTAATACGCAATAGCAATAAATGTAGAACTCTTGAACAATTAATTTCTTTGGGCTTAGCTTTTCTGTTATTACGGAGAACAAATATTATTGCTTAGCAACATTTGATGAACTGTTAAAAGCGCTTAATATGTTCGATTCAGCTTTCTTTTCTTAATATTTTTGTCTTTAAAAGAGAATTTCACATGGTAATAAATCAACTGAGACTTCACTTGTTGTAGTTGTCGTTGTCGTTGTTGTTGTAAATAAATAAGCTTAAAATTTCACAATTCATTTTGTGTTATGTCGACAGTTGTTTAGTTTAGGTTTCAGGTTCGGTGGCAAGATGGACACGCCCCCTACAGCTGATAGAGAGTGGGATACACATAGGCGATATGAGTGAGGCCTGTGTTATATAAACACAGACGTTTCTTTCTTAGCAGCTATATTGAAGCTGATTAGAGTTTCAGACAGGTGTCACATAGCTAACATATACATTTCTATATATGTATGAAGGTAGAGAGATGTGTTTACTAATAGGCGTGGCCTCTGGACAAAGTGTGACATTTGTGAAATTCGCTTTGGTCTGGAAAGTTGCAAATTTGCTTAGTTGCTGCGCTTCGTTTAATAGTTTTTTTATTTCAAATTCGAAATTTGAAATTTTATGAGCTGCTTTGCTATTTTGAGAATTGCAACAGCACGAAAAGTGCACATTAAAATTGTTGCGGCGAAAGCTTTGCCCAGGGAGAGGGCAACAAAATCATTTCATTACCTGAATCCTAACTGGCATTAAGTGCAAAATCCAATAACTACGCTATGTGATCGCCATAATAAGCTTAATAACAATAGCAAATATCGCCTATGTGTGTGTGTGCATATGACATGCCTGGCACATTAACGCTCGATATGATGCGATGATATGCAGCAAATTGAAAGTAAATAAAAAATAATAACAATCGCCAAGAAAGAGCAGAAAAAAAATACAATATTACAAAAGCAAACGGTGCAATATGGCAAATTAATTGGTTATACAAAAATGGCAAACCATAAAAAAATAAAATATATATAAATATATGTGTGCGCTTAAATGTGTGACAAAAACAACAAACAGCAACAATACGATAATGATTATAATAAGGTTGCAGCACGCGCTGCGTATTAAAATATGTAAAAAACAAAACACAAATGGAATCAACGATTTTTGTTTGTTTCAAATAAAATTCAAATTATGCACAAGTGAATAATTGCGGTATTTGTGTTCGTTTTTTCCTAGAGAGAATCATGTTCAGTTAAACTACATGCAAATATATAAATAAATTTTAATATAATATAGCTTTGCATTTTAATATAGCCCAAGAGGCTCATAAAAACAAGTTGCCCTCGACGTGGGTGTGCGTGCGCGTGTGTGTGTGTGTGTGTGGCGCCATCTAGCGGCCCATAAATATGAGAAATCCAAATACAAATATCATGGAATGCAGCAATGGCTTAAACAATAACAACAACAACAGCAAGAGTAACAACAACAACAGCAACAACAGCAGCAGCAACAGCAGCCTCTCAGCGTCCAATATCAACGGAAACGGAAATGGCAATGTTAGTGAGCTGCAGCTGCGCCCTCTGTCGGCCAAAACAGCGCTAACAACATGTGCAACAGCCCAGCCCACTAGCAACAGCAACAGCAACAACAAATTGTGCGGCTCCGGCATGTCGCCGCACTCGCCACCCCCGCAGCAGCCCACAAACATGGCCACAAATGGCCATCAGTCGTATCCGGCGATAACGGCAACGTATTGGCTGCCGCCACCAAATCCGGCGCCATATTTAGTTCCAGGTAATTAGTGTTACTTGCAGCCATAGCCAAAAGCCCCATCTCGGGCTTATACTAACTTCAGTTACAACAACATCCCTGATCACCCTACGCCCTTTGCCTATCCATTCTCTCTCTCTCTCTCTTTCTCTCTGTCTCTTCACCTTGCAACGTGGCTGCGGAAACGCGTCGCCTGCTGCCTGCCTCGAAATGTTGCAAATTATATTTTCGTGTTTATTGTAAAGCTCTCGAGGATTACACTGAGAAAAGAGATGGGTATTTAAATGTGGTGAATTGATTTGATTTTGCCGATTCACGAAAAATTTTTTAAGCTTGCTTTAAGAATCTTAAAACTTTTATTAAAATTTTTATATTATTTTATTATTATTTTTCTATTGAGTATTTATTCTATTGAGTAATTTAATTCATATTGAATATAAATATATTTAAATTGTATTCTTTAACTTTTATTATAATCTTAGACCAAAAAAGTTAATCCAAAATGCAGAGCAGTTCCTTTTCTCTCAGTGTACAAAACATGTTGTTGGGGCGCTCGTGTCGTGTTGCACACTTGTATGCATGTGTGTGCGTGCGAATGTGTTGTCATTGTATTTTATTTCCATTCGCTTTTTTCTCTCTCTCGTATTTCGCTTAGTCCGGGCGTCGCGCTGCCAAGTGGCAAAATGTTAAGCCACTGTGTGAAGCTGGGGCTGGATTTTAATGCTGCCTACATCTATATATGTAGCGGCATGCGAGTGTGTGGGAGCGTGTGGATGTTGGGGGCGTTTGTTTTGGGCATCGGTTGCATGCAACGCAGCGGCGCCTCCTTTTTGTGTGTAATTTCATTTGCAAACGCCGCTTGCTGGCTGCTAATTAAATTTTAGCTTTGTCAGGGGATTTGCACTTCGGGCCAAAGTGGAAAACATTTTGTTTTTCCCTTTGTTGTTGATGTTGTTCTGTTGTTTTTCCTTTCTCCTTTCCTTTTTTTGTTGTCAACTGTTGCTTGCGAGCTGACACAATAAACAATTTGCGGCTTATTGTCACCAAAAAATAGAGTTGCCAAAGGCATTTGAATTGGAAATCGAAATGTTTTTTGGTAACATTTAAAAAAAATATATTTATATATCAATTAACTTAATCATTTTAATAATATATACATATTTATATTTTCATTTGGGCATATAGAAATTAAAATAAAATTCAAATATTTATATTAATAAATTAGCGAAACAAACATATAAATATTTATTCATTATTAACATTAAGGAATTATCGAAATACATATATATAAATATATTTTTATAAATATATATTTATTAAAACAACATAAAAATTATTAAAATAAATATATATTATATGCATATTTATATATGTTAATATATTGCTGAATAATTGATTGATCTAAGCATAAGCTTGACTAAATTAAAATTTAATAAATTCAATAATAAAAAAATTCAAATAAAATTGCTTAGAAGTGAATTTCAGCTTACATAAGAAAGTAAATGTATTTTGTATATTATATATACTTACATAAATATATTTTGTATATATATAAAGTATAATTAAAATCTTCTCGAAAAAAAGGTGTAAGCCAATTTGCAACTAGCTTTATTTTTGTGATTTTTTTAAAAACTGGTTCGTCTTCACGCTCATAAAAAAAAATGATGTTAAGATTCTGCGCTTAAATCTTAAGCTTTCTTCTTCTAATCGTCAACAAGTTATAATATATTATATGCATATGTATACATATATATATATATATACATTTATATTTAATTATTTATAGATATATAACTTGGTTATTTGTCTATATATATTTCTGTCATATATTTGAGAGCTTGAATTTATTAATTTAAAGTCCACAGAAAAGTCTGATTTATCTAAAAAAAATTAAATTAACATACATTATTTTAAAATGTGTTCCATACATTTTTCAAGAATTTATTTTCATATATATTTTCTTTTTAGCATTTAAAGTAATAAAAATAAAAATCAATTTAATCGCTGGTTAAGTAATCATCATGGCCGCCAAAAGTATTCGCTTTATATGCAAATCAGTTACAATTGCGCCTTGAACTCAAGCTGAAAATTGTTTTGTGCTCGAGCCATATTCTAACTACAGCAAAAATGACTGTTGTGCATGCAAATCAATAAGTTAACGATCTAATCCATTTCCGCTGTTGCGACTTGCATACAGATTGCTCCAAATATGGCTAATACGAAGCTGCTTCTCTCTCTCTCCCTGAGTTAACTTTTCTCAATATGTGTCTTGTGGCTCTGGCCGTAAAGCACATGCAAAATTTCTAAACTCAGACACACACACGCACACGCACTCACGCACACTCTTCGCTCATTTGGGAATATCTGTTGGGAATTGGGATATTTGTTGGATTGCAGTTTCTGTCTGTAGCTTGCGGCGTGGCAGGAGGCGTGTCTGTTGCAGGGAAAGGGAAGGGCCAGCAAAATGTTGGCAAGCTTTGACGTTTCTATCGATGTGGACGCTGTCGTCGTCGTCATCTAACTTAGCGCATGACTTGCATATTTATGCGCTATATGCGAAATGAATTGTTTGTTGTGGTTGCTGTTGCTGTTGCTGTTGCTGTTGCCGATGCTGCTGCTTAAAGTAGCGACAATGCTGACAGGCAGCAAATAATGATAATAAATAAGCAGGGCCAACGTCAAAAAGGCTGAATACCAAAAGAAAAATGAATATAAATAAATAAAGAACTATGCGTATCTAGCTGAATGAATGAGTGCATGAATGAATGAATGAACGAATGACCTGACCCAAAGTCTGACGAGCACAACAAGTGCATGCGATGATATATTTTTAAAGCAATTCAATGCAGCAGACACGTAACCCAGCAGCAGCAGCAGCAGCAAAACTAATAATTTTATGAGCAGATCAAATGACAAACAGCGCGGAGAGCGGCAGGCGAAGGCAGGGGAAGGGGCCACAAATAGTCAAAGTCAAAATGGCTGTCAGTCAAAGTGAAACGTAACAGCCCGTGCAAATATCTCGCTCACTGTGTGTATGTTGCATAAGGTTGTCTGTTTTAGAATTTTGTGGCATGGCATTGGGGTGCGAGCGAGTTGGCGAATGCTTTTTGGTCATTATCTGCATTTCGTTCGTACGCAACGTGCGCCAATGTGTTAACATAAATGTAACACGTTTCGCTGGGGCAACAACCAAGCGAGCAACAACAACAATAATCAACCGCAACCGAACAACCAACAACAAACACGTTGCACATTGCCATGTCACGTAGCTGCTTTTGCATGTCAACGGCAGAGGCAACCCTCGTCGAAATACGCTCTCGAAGCTTAAGCAAGCTTAACTGTCACATATTTCGAGAGTGTCAAGGAAATTGTCAAGGAAAAGCCGAAAATTGCTTTCACAAATCATCTTATACAAATATTGAAACTGAAATTATAAAGTCTAACCGATCTCTGATCTAGAGTTAGCGCTGCTAATGATGTTGATGATGATGATAGTTTCAGGGTTTAGCAACTGCTCGCTAATTGCATAAATAACACGCGTGTGAGAGTTGTGCAAACTCCAAATGAACTTGACTCGAAATCCCAGCCAAAGCATGCAAAGACAGCAAAAATCAATCTTAATATAGAAACTAGTTGCGATGAAAGAAAGAAAGATAGAGAGGGAGAGCCAGAGGGAGAGACTGAATAAGGGAGGGAGGGAGGTCAAAAAGAGAGAGAGGCAGAAAGAGAGATAGAGAGAGAGAGAGATAGACAGAGAGAGAGAGAGAGAGAGAGAGAGAGAGAGAGAGAGAGAGAGAGAGAGAGAGAGAGAGAGATTGAGAGAGAGAGCGATAGAGAGAGATTGAGAGAGAGAGAGAGAGAGCGATAGAGAGAGAGAGAGAGAGATTGATTAGAGAGGGAGAGAGAGAGAGAGAGAGAGAGAGATAGGGATAGGGAGAGAGAGAGAGAGAGAGATTGAGAGAGCGATAGAGAGGAGAGAGAGCGATAGAGAGAGAAAGAGAGAGAGAGAGATTGAGAGAGATTGAGAGATAGGGAGAGATATAAACAGAGAGAGCGAAAACTAGAGAAAGAATGAAAGACAGGGACACAAAAGGAGTGAGGGAGATAAAGAGAGGAAAAGGTAGAGAAAAAAATTAAATAGACCCAAAGTGAGAAAAAGAGAGAGAAAGGCAGCGGGAGAGAGAGAAGAAAAAATAGCTTATTAAGCTACATAACTAATGCTACAATTGATCAATTTGTTTCTGATAAACTTTATCTATTTATCAAATTGATTTTATTCAGAAAAAGTTTTAAGCACTGATTTCCATGACATATGAACCAAAGCGAAGCTCGCTCTATAGACGAATCAATTAATACTTGTAATATAATTCATATATTTTATATATGTAATTTACTTTTATGTAACTTATAACAGCTCAAAAGCTTTAATAGGCTTTCAAAGCGAATTGCTTAAGCTTTCACCTTTGAGTAGATTTGTTTGTGATAATATTATAAGAATTTCTTATAAGTTATTAAAATAAACCTTCAATATTCAATTTGCTGAAAACAAAAGCCGAGAATGAATTCTCTCAGCGATATTTAAAAAAATTCTATTGTTTTTATTGTAATTGAGTTGCTCAGCTGAGTTTAGGTTAGACAATTTGTTTGCAACTAATTTCCTGAACTATTGAAAATTGTACAATACGCCCACTCTTTACACACACGCGCACACACACACTCATACACAGTCATACACACCTACATACACTTGTAAAACCGAAACGTCAAATGGCAGACAAGTGACCAGAGAACACAAATACGTGAATTCTGTGGGACTCTTCAAACAACAAACAACAAATATTCTGTTGCTAGTGCCGCTGCTGTTGCTGTTGTTGTTGTCGTACATTTTGCATAGACAATAGTGCGATAGACAGACGACAGCAACAGCAACAACTTTGAATGCGTTACAGTTCAATACAGACCAGTCGGAGTGGATAAAGCTAATAGAGGGGGCTGAGAGGGAGGTCCAAGGGGCTGGGTCTAGG